CCTATGCTCCCTAGGTTCTTCGAATATTATAGGTATTCCCTCTCTTGCGCTCCAAGAGATGAAAAATATCCAGAACATGTCAACCAGAAATAGAATGAGAAACATTATTTTCTGGTCGTATCAAGAAACTGTAAACTAAAGGATAATCTATAGAAATAATGAAAAAATCGTACCTATATCATAAAGGATTTAGATATTACCAAATCTTCCCACCAGGGTTAACAGGAACAAGAAAAATTAGAAGGAATCCGCATTTCGACGCGGAGATAAAATGTCAAATCATGAATCATTCTAATGTCTTATAATTTGAAAAACATTCAATTATTTCCACCAGTGATTAACGAGTTTGCAACATGCCTTCACTTGTTTATGTCATTCTTAAAAGTAGAGCACAAAAATTAGTGAATTCGAAAATTATGAATGAATTCAAGAGAATTTCTCAGGTTTTTCCTCAATATTTCAGAAATGTTCCATCCAAATTTCTGTTACTGAAAAGTAGAAGAAGCATGCCCTGCACAAAAACCGATCAGTGGAGTTTTTATCCCGAGGGTTCATCAATACCAATATCATGATTTAATAAGTTCCAATAATGATGTTATAAACGGTCAGGTTTTCGCACAAGTGTTCACAGTATGTTAGTAGATGTTCGTCAATCTCGATAATCTAAAAATATATCCTTGTAGTTATCCACAAATTTCCGGCCACAGAAAATGACGTAGAGGAAACAAGATAAATGTTCCATAAAAAAAATCATACAGGGGGGGATTTACTACGAGTTCCTATCACAATTATTTGGAGAACCAAAAAAATTATGAGTTTTATAATAATTTGGGTGTAACCATTTCAAACACAATATCAAGATTAGGGCAGCGATTTTCCTAAATATACTGCACGCTAGCACAAACCACGCCCACCATAATACGTCATATCTCCAAACATTACCGATATACTCGGAGTCAGCACATCGCACTAAAATATACTGTGCTCCAACGCAGGAAATATGATTTTGACACGAATTCGACTGAAGCTCGTTCGTTGTCAATCTCTTGTACGCAATAATTTCATACACCCAAATGGTCTACTGGTTAGCGCTGTCGACTCTCAGTCTGAAGGTCCATGGTTCGAATCACTGTGAACTTGAACTTTTTTTTGCAACTTTTTTTTTCACCAATGTTTTTTTACTTCATTCTGGTCAAGTCAAATAGGTTAGTGCGTTTAGGATAAACAGTCTCATTTTATTCAATTTTGTTGAAGAACTCAACTTTTGAAATATATTATTAATCAATGTGTTTCTACACTCCATTCGGTTTTCCTTCCTCAAAAATATTGCAATCAGGAATAGGTTAGTTCGTTGAGGATAAATAGTCTCTGAGTTTTGCCTAAGTAAAGTACTTTGAAGATGAGATATAACGGTGGGCGTGGTTTGTGCTAGCGTACAGTATATTTAGTAAATACGCATTAGGGCATGTCTCTATCAACTTAACGTGGAATAAACTCTTTTATTACATATGTTCGGAACGAAACAGAGATTTATTAATTTTGATCTGAATATGATGGTTTTGAATAAAATAGTATACAAACCTCGGTAGAAATTTTCATTCCTGTCTGGAGATCATAGCTAACTAACTAATATCATGACAGGAATGAATCTCTTCCCACCTCGGTGGTAAAAAAACGCAAGTCAGCTCAAGTCATATTTTCCATAGAACAGGCCACAGCCTTTAGGGCTAATCAGCCAAGTTTTGGGATTTTTTCGGATTTTTTACTTTGACATTGACCTCAAGCTTTTTAATTTCTTGCCATGTGATTTTCGTGACCTGAGAATCAACATGTTGAAATCAAAGTTGATAGTTTTTTAACAGCAAATCCTCTTTACAATGTGGAAGATTTCCTTATGCTTATGAAGAGCAGAGATGCCCTTCTTTGATATGCATTATTTGTTTCTTCAGATACTTGTCATTTCTTCACTCATCAATTGTATTTATATTTTTTTGTAGTTTTCATTCATTCATCATTTATATTTATTCATTCAACATTATTTATTGTAATTTGTAATTTTAATTCATCACTTTTAATATATTCTATTTTATTTTATTGGATTGATATAACAAACCCAGCCCAACACAGTGTACTTGCTGTTTTTAAAGGGAAATAAAGTGAATTCGAATATAAATAAATTAAAAGTAAAAAAAACTCTTTAATAAAAAGCTTTTATTGAAACGCTCCAAAAAGAAGAAAATAAAATTTTTCTTAATAATTTTAACTATCAACTCATAACCTCATTATACACAATTTATATGATCATAAAAGTTTGTCGCGCGATTCACTTGTGTGAATGAACTAGTACTTATTTAATTATGTGAAATCTGCTGAGATGAAATTCTTAAAATAACAATTTAATTAAATATTGATCATCGCGTCAAGCTTTTATGATCATATAAATTGTGTATAATGAGGTTATAAGTTGATAGTTAAAATTATTAAGGAAAATTTTATTTTATTCTTTTTAAAGCGTTTAAATAAAAGCTTTTTATTAAAAAGTTTTTTTTACTTTTAATTTATTTTTCAATTTTTAGTTATTGCTAGCTGGATTTTTCGAGTTACTCTCAACGAGCCTTTTCATTTGATACCCATATTGTAAAAGTATATCAAAAATAGCTATTCCGCCATATTGGATTTAGACTACGGTCACATTATTTTTCGAATAACTCCCAACGAGCCCTTCCATTTATTTGATACCCATATTGTAGAAGTAGATTAAAAATGACCATTCCGCCATCTTGGAAGGTCCGCCAAATTCGATTCAGAATGACGTCACATCATTTTTCGAGTTACTCTCAACGAGCCTTTTCATTTGATATCCATATTGTAAAAGTATATCAAAAATAGCTATTCCGCCATCTTGGATAGTCCGCCATATTGGATTTAGAATAACGTGACACACCTTATCGTGCATTGTCATCCAAACTGAACGTGTATACAAAATTTCAGCTCAATCGGTTGAAGATTTCTACTTCAAAATTGAGTTCAAAGATTCCACCCGAACATACATACATACATACATCCATACAAACATACAATGCAAGTTAAATAAAAGCTTTTAATTAATAAAAGCTTCTAATTTAAAAAATGTACCGTTTGTATGTGAGACAAGTCCAAAGTTTACATGAAAAACATATTTTTGTCAAAAGTGCATTTTAGAGGACCCTTCTTTCAGTAATCAAAGAAACCTGAAAGAAATTGTAGCAGGATTGAAACCACCCTCACCCCCTAACATTTTTCTCAGAACATACTGAGGGGTGATAATAGGGTTCTCAATTGTTTTAAGCAAGATGACTGATTAATTATCTTCATTTTGTTATTCTTGTGAAAATTCTGTATTCCACTGAGTTCCGACGGAAAAGAAGTTTTCTTAAGTAATGCTAACAGATTTAGTTTTATAGAATTGTAATACAAAATTATTTGGCAGTGGAAACAAACGAATTGACATTGACAAAACGTTCTGTTCTGCTGCCAACTAAATTTTTCATTGAAATGATATTAATCATTTACTATTATTTAGGAAAACATTTTTTTCCTTCAGAACTATGAGAAATTTTCACAAGGGTGACAAAATGAAGAAAATTTATCAGTCATCTGGCTCAGCAAATTTGGAGGAAAATTGGAGAGTAGGGTCAACCCTTCCACAATTTCTTTTGGGTTCCTTTGATTACCCAGAGAAGGGTGATCCTCAAAAATGCACTTTTGTCAAATTTCATCCAATTTGTTTCACTCATTTTTCAACAGTGTACAAAAATGTATTTTTTTTGTAAACTTTGAACTCATCTCAAGGACAAAGGGTTCATTTTGTTGTAGAAATAAATTGGGTCCAATCAACTTATTTTGACTGGTATTACAAGTGGTTGCTCTGTGTCCCAGCAATTTTGGGACACCCTGTATATTAGCAGTATATTATGTGAAAGAATTTGAATAAATAACAGTATATTATCTATTAATAGATAGATATGAAAAAAGTCAGGTACACATTTCAATATCTACTTCACTTTGAATAATATCTACTCTATTATTTTACTACAGTGGGTAATATTTTCTTAATCTCTTGGAGCGCACGAAAGGAAATCCCTGTTATGTTTGAAGACCATCATGCACACCCAAGGAGGATATGGAGAGGAGGTTGGTATTGGAATTTTTTCTTGAACTTCTGGAGATTATAAATTCTTGGGAATACTTTCTTCAGCAAAGAATTCCAAAGCTTTGCTGTTCTATGAAAAACAAGTTTTGGTGAAGTGTTGTTTGACATTTTTCAAGGTTGACAACAAAAGGATGTGCTGACTGGGATTGTCAAGTTCATCTGGCTAGTACTGCTTGTGATGGAATGATAGCAGAGATTTCTGAATAACATTTCCCATGGAAGTATCTATGGAAAAGTGAAAGGTTGCTGACTTTTCTATGGTGTTCCAATGATGTAAATTTTCCTATATACCTACTTAATATCTAAATATACAGAAAAACTCAAATCCACCTAACTACTAGTACCTAAACTCAGGAGTGAGGAGTATAATAATAATAATCAATTACCTATAAATTAACTACATATAAGGAGTATAATGCAACTTGCATACTGTGTGGTACCATGTGGTACTCAATGTGGTATGAGGCTGCACAGCCAATAGGACCCCTCTACAATTTACAAATTTCCACTGGAGTATTTGCTAATAATGTTTAAAAATACTTCTGAAGGATCATGAATGAACAAGTTACCAATTATCAACCATCAAGCATTTCCAAAAGCACCTGTTCAACATTATATATTATAGAACAAATGCACTAAACAAATAAAAACATCATGTAATAAATATAGAACAAGGAAGTTTGTAATATGATCATTTCCTCAAGAATGGCTTGGAGCATATTTGATTTGAATGCAAGTAGATATAAAGTACATAGGATGTGTGTCTAGAAAACTCTTCTGTAAATTGATTCTCCACCAATCCACTTACTTGTACAGTACTCTCCCTAACTACTTGGGATACAGTTTCCCTAAGTTGAGCTGCAGTCCCTGGCTTTCCCAGTCCACGGGCGAATTTTCTCTCACTCATTGTTTCACTCAATACAGTGTATCAATTCATAATAGGTCAGCCCGAGTATTGGTACCATTACCATTAGATGTTGATTGTTGACTTAATATTTACACCCATTTTGCATTCATATTCCACAATCGACCGATCGCCAAAAGCATTGCTGTAGATTTTGTTAGAGGGAAATGACAAAAAAAGTAAACTATTTTCATGCAAATTCATTACTTTAAATATAAAATGAGACAGTTGAAAAATATCTTCCTTCTTATAAAATATTCGATGATCAAGACAGGTTTTTTGCTTTTCCATGAATAATAATAGTTAATAATAAAATAATATTTCCATTCCCTTAAAAAATAATTTCGGAAACGCACATCAAAACAGCTGTCGGGCTGTCAGGAATGGTCAATATCAAGATTTCAGGAATGTCAATTGTCAAGAAAAAGAAAACGAGGTACTTTCTTTTGCACAGAAAGTGTAGCAAAGGGCATTCCTTTTATTACCAGTGCAAACCAGTATAATAGCAAATAGTTTCTTCCTGCTTCCTAAGCACACCGACGAATTTCAAACGAATGAAGAAAATTTGATTGATAAAGAGGAAAAGTGCAAGAGTGAACAGAGTTAATTTTGAAATGTTGTATTTGATTCAACTGATTTCCCAGTTCAGGTGTTATATTCAAAAATATAATCACATATGTATTTCGAGTCATTTATCGCGATTTTATTAATTATTTAATTCGAGTGTAATTTACACCTGCCCAAGACCAGGTGGACTACACTGGTGTGAAATGCACTTTTCAGAGGAATGCTCAAATAAGGTGTAAACTACACGAAGTGTACGAATGTGCTGCACTTTTCATACAAAAGAAAAGGCCTCGTTATGAAACAGAAGTCAGAACAGAACCGCCACAGCGCCACAGCGGTTATGTAGACACTTCCAATTTTCAGAGTGGTGTAAAAATGTTTGTTTGAATTTGAATTGATTATTGAACACTTGAACAGGTATTGCAACAAATATTGATATTATTGATAACAAAAAACTGAAAGATATTCCTAAATTCTAACAATAACCATACTGATCAGCATGAGGAGGGTTTTCTATGCTGATTGCTGATAATGCTGATCAGGAAAACTTGTAGAATGTAGAACACAATAGGGCATCCGGAAATAGTGTCTAATTTTAGTTTTTTATGGCTGTTTTTAGAATATCATCAATGGACAATGACACAATAGTAATGCCGACCTGAATAACTAGCTAACAGCTACAAAAAAGCAAAAACTTTAGATCTCTGTAGAATGGAAGACGAACTAGATGATAGAGTTATTTATCAAACCTATGTATCTCACATGAAAATAATGTCGAAAATTGCATGGACTTTCCCCTTGAAGCTGTCTCATGTAACATTCTCAGCCCAGACTTGGAGAATACTGAAACTTTATGTGTTGAAACCAGAATTAATAGTATTTGGGACACTAGTAATTCTAATTTTGGTATACATGCAAGCAGTTGATGTATGGAGCCGTAATTTATTAGGTAGATTGCAGCACACTATCAACATCAGAACCAGGACTAAGGTAGACAAACTCAGTTTCTTCAGTAATGCTAATTTAGAGAAGTCCAGCTGGCAGTTGAAAGTTGGAGCAGTGGCAGCATATGCTGTGCAAGGAAGAAGAGGGAAAATGGAAGATAGATTTGTTATCAATGATAATATAAACAACACTGGAGTTGCATTATTTGCAGTATTTGATGGACATGGTGGAGATTTTGCAGCAAATTTTGCTAAAGAAAAACTAGCCCAGAATCTGTTTGACAAAGTTATAGAAATAAAAGACTTAGCATCTGGCAAAACTACCCCACATGTAAAAACATTACAAGTGGCTAGTGAAATAGAAAAGAAAGACCCAGAGAAACCTGTTTCCCCAAGTCTTGTAGAACGAAGGAAGAGTTTCAGGAGAACTAGTTCTACTACAGATGAATGTGTTAAAGGAATCAAAGAAATAACAGATGTAGAATTACTGTCTAAATTGGATAACATCAAACCTGTGAGTCGAGACTCAAGACCTTTGAAACTGACTCCTAGTATGAAGAAAATACCAGCCACTAGTTATTTTGACCATAATGGTACTGTGAACTATGGGAAACTTCTTACTGATGAAATTTTAGCTGCTGATGAACGATTGGTAGAAACTGCAAAAAAGAGTTTGGATGTAGCAGGGACAACAGCTTTGATAGCCATGTTGGATGAGCACAGACTTGTGGTAGCCAATGTTGGTGATTCAAGGGGTGTCATGTGTGATGGAAGAGGTAATGCTATTCCTCTATCATTTGACCACAAACCACAACAGATGAGAGAACAAAAAAGAATCAGAGAAGCAGGAGGATTTGTGAGTTTCACTGGTGTTTGGAGGGTTGCTGGTATCTTGGCAACCTCCAGAGCACTAGGAGATTATCCACTGAAAGATAAAAAGTTTGTAATTGCTGATCCAGATATATTGACTTTTGATCTAAAAGATCACAAACCTCTGTTCCTTATTCTTGCATCTGATGGATTGTGGGATACATTTTCAAATGAAGAAGCTATTAATTTCATTAAAGAAAGGCTTAATGAACCAGACTATGGTGCTAAAAGTCTAACTTTGCAATCTTACTATAAAGGTTCATTAGATAACATCACAGTCATCATAATAAATTTCAAAAATAATGCTTATAGTTCTTATAGTAGTAGTGCAAAAGAGAATGCCTCTTTATAATAGTGATAATTTGAATGAACAAATATTCATGATATTTTCAATGTTCTCAACTGATTTCAAACAGAATTTTACAAATACAGACAAAACCCACAAAACATGTTTTATCACCATTAGTTTGGGCACTGCCTACTCTGTGTTGCTGAACTTGCTAAAGTTGATTTTGTTCCCATAGTTGTATCTGTTCATGGTACAATGTAAACAGAGAAAGTCAGAGAAAAAAATCATGTATCTCAGATGTATCTATTCATGTTCAGTTCCATTGTGTTTTCCTCAATCTCAACTACTTTTCATTGTTTTGGATAAGTAGCTGAATATGCTTTTTTCTACATTCATGCAAAAAACAGAACTTTATTGAACTATATTTAGTGGAAAAAGAAGTTCTTTATTGCACTTAGTGCAATAAAGTGTTTATTGCACTCATCTGTCATTCTACTTCAACGTGCTGTCATCATGACAAACATTTTCTATAATGCAACTGTGGTTATAGAAACGTCAGTCAAAAATTAATTCTGACAATTAACAGAATTGTACCTAGTGCCGCACCTCAATAAATCATTTTTTGCTTTTTGCATGAACGTAGAAAAAATGTTGTATGCAACTCATGCAAAAATTGTTTATTGCATTCGACGTGAAATTGTCCGACGAGGCCGTCAGGCTTGTTGTTGAAGTTGATATCTTCCTATACAGTAGGAGAGGTGGCTGCAGATCTGATAATAAAATGACATCTGTAATAACATCCTATTTCATTCAATGGCATCTGTGCCAATCACTGTTCTGAGCAAAATTATTGAAAATTTGCACTTCAATTTGTGGTAATTTGCACAAAATGTTGTGATTTGATTACAAGATAACAATTATGCCATCTGATACCAACTGAATGATAGATCTCAAAACCCTAACTGTACCACCACTCCTGAATCTGAGTCAAATCCTCAGCACAGCGATTTTTTTGCATCCGTTATTCCAGTTCCGGACATACTTACTTCACGTGATAACCAGACAAAGAGTTGATATAAAATGCAAATGAAAGGGAATGCTGTTCCCCTTGTAAATATCCAAACGTGCCGTGATTCAAACTGATCTCTAACATAAACAAGTTTAACACCCTATACATTTCTTTGTTGATTTGTGACGTGCAATCAATTCTTACTTCAGCGATGTATCACATTTGATATTTTGACAAATAGTCCGGCGGGTAAGAGAATCCACCTTGCATTTCATGTTCAAAAGGTGACACATGGCTTAAATTGTTCCTTAGACCCTATTCTTCGATATGAGAAATGTTGCCACGGTCCCACCCCCTGCAGACCCCTTATTTAGGCATGGTTGCCTTCCTTCAGGGGCAAAACGCCCTTCTTCTCATTTCTCGCGTAATAAACATCGTAGATGTCTACTTTTTTCTTACGTTTGAGATGTTTTGAGTGCCCAAGGCTGACAAACGATTATAAAAGGCCCACGGCCACAGATTTCAAAATGGCGGCGTCCGAAATCGAAAAATTTGAACATTTTCAAAGGAACAAAAAAGAGGTAACATAGTATCGTGACGAGTGTCGTTTCATATGTTTTCGGGGCGTCTGATTACAAAAATAAAAGTTAAAATCCATCCTGAGAAGTCATTGACGGAGGGTGCATTATATTTAGAATTTATGGGGTACAGAGTTGGCAGGTACACTTGCACAGCTCGCAACATTTGAGGCCGTTTTCCAGGCATTTGCAGCGGGCCGGTACGCACCCCTTTTGACAGGAACATTTAATTAGTGCCTCACAAGCTTCAGATGCAACAGGAATCGTGCGCCACACAGGTATATATCAGCAGCCTGTGCTAAATTAGTTCCCTCGGTGTCGAAAAAACGAATGTCTGCACGGATAGAAAAGTCAATGTCTTCGAAATGCAATGAGCACGTCTTGACCTTGAGTCCCAACATGTTCAAGCTCTGGACATTCTTCTAACGGACGTTCTCTCAGCCGAGTAGAATGAACATCTGAAGTTGGTTGATCCATCTCTGCTAATCGTTCTGAATACTCTCGAGCTAGGTGCGCCATTTTGAAAACAGGCGGATCATCACCGACTTCCCTTGCCGTTTTCATGTTGGCAATCAAGCCAGCAAGAGCAATACCGTGAGCTGGAGCACGATCTGAGCCTGAAAAAGGGATAAAAAGATGTGTCGTTTAAGTAAGTTCATGCACACATGCTTGAATCGAGTGTATGATCCCACTCGATACACTCAATTCGATCACTACCATGTATCAACTCTGAAAGTGGAAACCTGCTTAGGGTTTTGGGCGCCTAGACCGGTCTTCTGGCTCACTGTGGTGGGCAAGCGACGTGTGCGTGCAAGGCGTATCTATATGGCAATGTCTATGCAGATACGCCTTTGTTGCGCGTACAGATCGACGAGTTCTTCAAGAAGTAGAAGAGCCACCAATGATGCGGCTTTTAGAGGGAGAGAGAGAGAGAGGAAAAGACAGGGAGATGGGCTATAGATTACCTGTTTTATCCAATGAAATGGCTCTCTTAACTCTGTTAATGTACTTTGCTCTGCACCTATTGTGGTACAAGGCCTCCAGTGCTACAAGATCGCCAGCCCCCGCAATCTTGGCCAGCATTTGCGTGTCCTTCATTCTTTTTGCTGCCTCAAAAATTTCTTCACTGCAGTGCATTGTGCATACTTTGCTTAGACAATAGGGTATACGCGTGTGAAAATTTTACACTGGAATATATTTTTGTTCCATTACTCCTATGTATAGATGTCGAATTATACACTCGAAAAACATTATTAAGCACCGAACATTTAATAATTTCTGATTGAAAATCATAATATTTGCAACTTTCCGACCAACAGCCGAACTGCAGCGATGATTTCCGACTGGATGTGGCTGTTTTTATTTGTCATGTCAAACATTCATGTCCGAAAGATTGAAAATGAAAATAATATAAGAAGAGAAAGTGAGGTTATGATTATCTGAGCTTGTAGTTTCTATAATCTATCTCAATTATATGATCTCAATATTCTGAATAATAATAACTGAATAATAAGCAAATATCTAAAATAAAAATGATCAAACAGGACTTCTTTTTGCATGTTGTTTCAAATATATATTACCACCTATCAATTTATATCTCATATAGTTTTCCATATCTTCTTCAAGCTGAAAACGAGATCACATATTATATTATTCTCCTAATAACATGAGGAACATAATCATTGATATATAATGGGTTTCACTAGAACATACTTGAACGTATACTCACTTCGAAATGGTCTTCACAAACAAATCCTCTGGTTTTCTCGGATAAATCATTTCTATTTATGGCTTGCAACCATAATTTTCTTTTCTCTTTATTTCTATCACTCGATCCCACTGGCAATGAAAGGAATATTTTTCCTGGTGATACTTTTGTTGATGAAAGGCATTGCCGCACTAAACAGTATTTGGTATAAACATTATCATTTTCCATTTTCAAATTTCAAATTTCTGGCGTTCAAAACTGTTTCCTTCTCCTACCTCTTCTTCTTCTTTTTTTTTCAATCTGAATCTTGTCATTCTGTCGCGCTAGTCTATGGCTGTGCGGCCTAATACTATGACGTCATAATATTAGTGATGGCCACTAACCCGTTTTCCTGTGACTTCATATTTAGCCTCATTTAAATGAAATTTTTTAAAGTAACAAGCAAATTTGAGATTAATGAATGATATCCAATGTTATTATAAGGAAGAAGGAATATAATTTCGATTAAGCAAAAAATCATGCGTATTCCTTATTGCTTCGGGTCCCAGCGAGAGAGCAAAATAAGCACGCATCTGGGCAGAAGGACTCTTTACTTCTTCGGGTCTTTACGGGTGAGGTGGTTGGAATTGGATCCGTGCTTGGCCGTTTCTTGGCCCGCTCTAGTTTGCTGGTGCTTATTATATTTGGGACTTGGGTTACTGACACGACTAGACTTCGTAAATGCTTCTCTTTATTCCAACGCCATTTTCTACATGCCTGTCTCAACATACATCCTTTTAGCCTGTTCTCTCTCATTATTACCTATTGACAGACATCTGATTGACGTGACATGACATACGTCATGTTCTGTGTTGTATGCTAATGGTGTAGCTAAAGGCGAATACACAACATCTTCTCTCCCTTAAGCTTCTAGCCTAGCCATAATAATATCCTTAATCTTACATTGTAATAATTGTAAATATAACCATAAATAATTCTGATAATACAATTTATGAAGTTTTATAAATCTAGTTTTATTACTGGTTTTCTTGCCCTAACCGACTTTCTAACGACAACTGGATTATTAGCTGGAGAATTGACTTCAGGCAATTTTGTAGAGGTATTTAGATCAAGTGAACTGTCATGCTGGATGTTCTCCTCAGGATCATCCAATGCAGATTCAATTGGAAAACGTGTATGGTTATCTTCAGTTTCCTTATCAACTGTCTGAGCTAATTTTTCTTTATCAGTACTTGGTTCTGAATGCCTCTCCAAATTAGTATCAGGTTTTTCAATGACATGGTCATTACTAGTATCAACATAACATGGTCTTATCGAATCTGCATGAAAATGTCTGTTATATCCATTTATCTCAACTATATAAGTAACTTTACTTAAAATCTGCACTATTTTACCTTTCACCCATTTCCTTCCTTCCCCTTGTAAGTTTTTACACCACACTTCCTGACCAATAAAATAAAATGAATTATTTTTCAAATTTACTTCCGCCTTCCTTTCATATGAATGAATATTGGGTTTCAACATATCCAAGAGAGTTCGAGGTTTTTGTTTAAATACTAGTTCATTCGGTGATGTTCCTGTAGTATTTGGGGTATTTCGATAATGGAATAAAAAATTTTGAACTACTTGTTCAATGGAAATGTCAGCTTTAGCATTTGCAAGTTGCTTATCTAGGGCTTTCTTTACTGTCTGTACACTGCGTTCCGCAATCCCGTTAGATTGGGGATGGTATGGAGGGCTTTTGGTGGCTCTGATATCATTAGCTTTCAAAAATTTTAAAAACTCCTTAGATGAAAAGGGTGGTCCATTGTCACTTACCAACACTACTGGCAATCCCGTGATAGAAAAAGTTTTACATAATTTTTCAATTGTCTGAGATGCAGATGTATTTGACATCTTATGAATATCGAGCCACTTCGTTTTGGTATCAATTATAATAAGAAAAGTCATGTTGAACTTGTGGAAAAAATCTACATGGATTCTTTCAAAGTTCATTCTTGCTTCGGACCAGGTAACTAGAGGGGTAGAATTCGAAAAATTTTGTAAACTTTGACAAATTTCACATTTTGCTATCATGATTTCTATGTCA